AAATAACATGAGAAATGTAGAAAACCTGAACTTGAATTTCACTTGAAAATCACTACAAAGAATCACAACAAAATATCTGTATTTCTAAAACACTGAAAATGAAATTAATAAAATACTTTTTTTTATTACTAACAGTTTCTATTTAAAAGCAGTGAAAGTTGTGTTCTACTTCAGGATCTTCTCATCGTCTCTCTCCTCCTGACTCTTTATTTCAAAAACAGTAGAAGATGCAGATTTACTTCTGTTCAACGTTCGTCTCCAAAACTCACCAACGACCGACTCAAGGACAGAACAGTGTCAGCGTGTCAGTCTGAGAGAGATGACTTCTATTTGATCTGGAGCATTGTTCATCATGAGTGTGTTTACATGAACATCAGTGTCTCTGTGACCATCGGGTTTTTCAGTCATGTTGCATGTAAACGCACTAACCCCAATACTACAATGTAAAGTTGAGTGTGAATGTGTCCAAAACACAAATACTTCTCAGTCTTTTCATCACAACAGTAGTGACATAAATAAAGTGACCGACATAAATAAAGTGATTGGCATAAATAAAGTGACCGACATAAATAAAGTGACCGACATAAATAAAGTGACCATAAATGAGTGAAATGGCTGAGCTAAACCTGCACATGAATCTGCACTCGTATGACCTGCACAGGTACAATCACTGAAAAGTTAAACATGAAATATCTCCTACGATATAAACACAGAACAGACTCATCATCAGCAGAACACCCCTCTGTCACAGAGAGAACACTCATATTCCACTGAGTCCTGTCCTTTAGTCCCACAGAAACTGAACCACATCAGCGACACACGGAGCGAGCAGTTTTTTTATTTTTTTTTTTTTTTTTATTAATGCTGTTTTTTATCAGCGTTATCAGTTTATGCAAATGAACCATGCAGTTTTAAGTTTCGTTTCTTTAAAACGTAAACAAATGTGGCAAAGCTGAATTATATGATCAAACGGGCTAATGTGGTTCTGGTTTTTATTTAGTAAAGTTGAGTTTATTTATGTGAGTGTAACTTGTACAATGTTTGGAGACGTTGGGTTTGATCTGTGCAGTGGATCAGAAACCCATGTGTCATTAGTTGATTTGTTTTTCAATATAAAACCAAAAATAAGAAAATGAAAAAACAACTTTTTTCTTCATTATTTGTCTCCAAAACCAAAATGAAAAAACAGATAATGATTTGTTTTTTCAGTTTTCGATTTTGTGTTTAAATGAAAAATGGAAAAAACGGATAACGACCGTTTCCTGTTTCCGTGACTTCCGTGACTGCGATGTCGGACTTTTGCACCAAATATGGATTGAACCAGGATCGATCCAGGTCCGGGACCACACTGGGACCAGAGCGAGACTGAGACCGGGACCAGACCGGAGGCTCAGAGTCAAAGCTTGGAGTCCACTCTGGTCCCACTCTGGTCGCAGTCTGGTCCCGGTCTGGTCCTGGTTTGGTCTGGGTCTCAGTCCTGCTATGGTTTCGGTGTGGTCCCGGACCTGGATCAGTCCTGGTTCAGTCTGTATGCGGTGCAAAAGTCTGACATCACAGTCACAGAAGTCACGTAAACAGGAAACGGTTGTTATCCGTTTTTTCCATTTTTCATTTAAACACAAAATCGAAAACTGAAAAAACGAATCATGATCTGTTTTTTCATTTTGGTTTTAGAGACAAATAATGAAGAAAACAGTTTTTTTCATTTTCTTATTTTTGGTTTTATATTGAAAAATGAATGAACGATACATGGAATTAAGGAGCTCATCAAGGACACTCCATTTGATCATGTCACAGGGACATGAGTGTCCCGGTTTCTCAGAGCGCATGTAAACGCAGTTTCCCAAATATTGACAGAACCGGGATATGGCTAATAACTGGAATACTGATGTGCATAGGCCCGGCACCTCATGTCGGCAGATAAGGCGCTCGCCCAGGGCGCCACATGTGTCTGGGCACCATCTAGTTGTAGCCGTCACCAAATTTCCTTTTGCCTACCTCCCTAAACTGGAATTACCACTGACCAAAATACACGATTGCAACACTCCTCTGCATGACCCTAGACTCAACCAAACCTTAATAAGCCCAAAACAAACCTCCATTCCATTTCATGTTACAGCACTCTGTGTGTGAAGACTTTGTAAAACTACGTTCACAAATCTTTCCACTTTACTTAATACTGTTCAGAACAGAAACAGTTCAGCGTTTTGTGTTGAACACTTCTACCTCACTCATGGTCCAAATACACCGACCGAGAATCACTCCTGTCATTATAGTCCCAAAGAACACTTTCCCATAAAACACTGCGGCAACATAATACGCCACACCTCAGTGTATATGTAGTGCGCCATGTACTGGGAAACACCGGAAATACAGGAAAAATAAAAACATTAACAAGGTTTATTATTATAATTTATTCAAGTTCAGCGGGCCGGATTAGAAGGTTTAAAGGACCGCATACGGCCCCTGGGCCATAATTTGCCCACCCCTGTTCTACACATCAGGACTAGAGTTACTCTCCACATCAGGACTTGAGTTCGTTTGTTTATTTCTTTAGTTGTAAAAAGGTTCAGTTAAACTTTGAAGTGAAATTTGACACCGTCTGATTTAAACTTATAATGTACACAGACACGCCCCCTCACACAGACACGCCCCCTCACACAGACACACCCCTCACACAGACACACCCCTCACACAGACACGCCCCCTCACACAGAGTGAGTATGTGTGTTTATCTGTGTGTGTATGTGTATCCGTGTGTTTGTGTGTGTGTTTGTGTGTTTGTGTGTGCACTCTGTCCAGAACAGTGTCATAACTGGGATCCTGCTGCACATGTAAACGCACTGACACTTCCACTTTACAAATGAAACACATTTAAGACAAAAGCAGCTTTATTTTCTCATCTATGACGTCATCAGAGACACAACTTTGTCTAAACGGATCTTTTATGTAGAATCCATTTACAACAAGAATCAAACACACACACACTCCCAGCATCCTCCATCACAAGCACACAGGTTTACTCCATCTCCAGAGAATCAGCAAAGAGAACATGAGACACTCTGTCACTGTCACTGCTGCACACAATCTACAAGATTCAACTATTAAAGCAGAGCTCTGCTGCAAAAGGGACTTTTCACACATTTAACCATGTCACACACGTTTCCTTTCTTCTATTTGGACACATTCAACCTGAACATTTACAAAAACACTTTTACCTGAACACTTCACCTCCAGACCCAAGGAAGAGGAAGTGGAGGATGAACCAGAGACACATTCTCTCACTGAAGACTCCTTCACACAGTGAGATGAGACCTTCCACACAGGACTCTGTGGAAAATCATCTTTCTTTTCTCCATAAACAGCAGAGCCACAGTCCAGGTCTCTGCACACAAAAGCTGTTTGCTCCTGATCCCAAAGTCCATAGAGATCCACTCGTCTCCACTCTCCTCTGTGTTTCAGCTCCACAGTCCCATCACAGCGACTGGCTCCTCCCACCAACCTGAGCGGCTCTGAACAGACAAGAGACAGAGTGAAGCCCCGCCCCTTTCCCTGAGCAGTGAAGCCCCGCCCCTTTACCTGAGCAGGTGAGGTTGACAGTGGTTCCAGAGGAGCAGGTGCTTGAGTTGGAGCGGGGACAGTCCATCAGAGCAGACTCATGGCCGTCACAGTGGAACGTCTGCCCCAGAGGAGAGAGCGCCCCCTGGAGGAGAGAAGGAGCCCCACAGCCCAGCTCCCTGCACAGCACCTCTGCCCCCCGCTGGTCCAAGTCCCCGTCACAGACCCCGGTCCAGGACCCGTCCCAGATCTGCACTGATCCTGAACACAGACCGGACCCCGAGACCAACCGCACCGACTCTGTGGACACACATGTGACATCATCACTCTGAACCAATAGGACGCACACATGTGTGACATCATCACTCTGAACCAATAAGATGCACACATGTGTGACATCATCACTCTGAACCAATAGGACGCACACACATGTGTGACATCATCACTCTGAACCAATAGGACGCACACATGTGTGACATCATCACTCTGAACCAATAGGACAAGTGTCCACTTGTTGTGTTCATGTGACTTGATTATATTTTTGTTACAAACACATAAGAATCATCTTCACTATTAAAAGTTTTAAGTTTTAATGATTTATTTGGTTTATAAACCAAAGGGGAAGAATGGAAAAAAATAAAATTCTGAAGTGAATCTTAAACTCTGATAATAAAAGATGAAAGACGAGCAAATTAAAACCATCCATCCATTTTCGTCTGCTTATCCGGGGCCGGGTCGTGGGGGCAGCAGCCTAAGCAGGGACTCCCAGACTTCCCTCACCCCAGACACGTCCTCCAGCTCCTCCGGGGGGACCCCGAGGCGTTCCCAGGCCAGCCCAGAGACATAGTCCCTCCAGCGTGTCCTGGGTCTTCCCCGGGGCCTCCTCCCGGTGGGACATGCCCGGAACACCTCCCGAGGGAGGCGCCCAGGAGGCATCCGGAACAGATGCCCAAGCCACCTCAGCTGGCTTCTCTCGATGTGGAGGAGCAGCGGCTCTACTCTGAGCTCCTGCCCGTGTGACTGAGCTCCTCACCCTATCTCTAAGGGAGCGCCCAGCCACCCTGCGGAGGAAACTCATTTCGAGCGCTTGTATCCGTGATCTCGTCCTTTCGGTCACTACCCAGAGCTCATGACCATAGGTGAGAGTAGGAACGAAGATTGACCGGTAAATCGAGAGCTTCGCCTTTCGGCTCAGCTCCCTCTTCACCACAACGGTCCGATACAGCGACCGCATCACTGCCGAAGCTGCACCGATCCGCCTGTCAATCTCATGTTCCGTCCTCCCCTCACTCGTGAACAAGACCCCGAGATACTTGAACTCCTCCACTTGAGGCAGAGACTCCCCACCCACCCGGAGAGGGCAAGCCACCTTTTTCCGGTCGAGAACCATGGCCTCAGGACTTAGAAGAGCTGATCCTCATCCCAACCGCTTCACACTCGGC